TTAGAGAATTTTTTCGGCGTTATCCGGTCGAAAGGAGGCATGAATGAACACCCCGATCGCCAGGAATTTAAGTACAGTCTGCGCTCTTACATCCTCGGATTTAACGAAGGCGCCTTGTCAGACGATGCGAATGTTTCGATCGATGACACTCCCGACTTAGAACTGGAGAGTAATTCACTCACAGGTACAAAGAAACAAAATTACTTTATTTGTACCTGCATATATTATTTATACTTATAAACTTAGATTAAAATAGGGTACGCACTGCGACTAAGAGATCTACTGGTAATTTATTGTCTTATATACTTTGTTTAGGTATTATCTTTAACAAGATTTCCTTGACGCCCGATGCGCCCAGCGAAGAATTTGCCGATCAAGAGGAACACGAGCTGGAGTCCTTGGAGAACGACGGACTCGAGAATCTTGCCGGTTACATATGTCATAGGCTACATAGCGTAGTGCCTGACATAAGGGTGGAAGGTGACGATGACAGCTTCACCTGGGTAAACCAACTAACCGAAGGTGGTGTAAATATTGGAAGGAGTTTAGTATTTTCTTAGCTCTACAGCCGCATTTAGGTGAGCATTAAAATGCCCCACAATGATTCCAAAAGTAAAACGCAAACGTTGAGTCTTAAAGTTGGAATGTTTTATTCGGCTCATCGCCGTTCTTTTATATGCTTACAATCTACCTTATGAGTAATCTAATTTACAAACTTACATTTCTAAGTTGTTAGTCATGCTTATGATTCTACGTTGTTGTGCATGCATACATAAATGTATATGGGTTCAATCGAGTTTATGTTATTGGAGAAGTGCAGCGCAAGCTAAATTGATTTGAGTACTTTGGCCTAGTTATTGCCAAAAGTATATTGAACTTTTTACTTAATATTGTGTGAACATTTTGTTTTGCTTAGCTGTCATGCTACAGTGGTTTGTCAAAGCCAACGGAGGCGATGATGACTCACATGCAGCAGCTGCAGAATTATGTGGGGGAACATATTAAAAAAGCGGAACATGTAAATTGCCACGACAGAATAAAGAGACTGTTTTTCCGTGCGCGAATGTTCATCAGAATTCGAACTCTGAACAGACAGATTTCTGATAGTACACGCTCTCGAAAGCGGAAATATCGTAAAATAATAAAATGAGGTAAGGTGAGATACACTTATTTCCATAAGATTTTATACTACAAATAATTGTTTTCGATTACACTTTTCAGCAACTCCAAAAATCGTTAAAAAATTGGCGAACCGCGGCTGATAACCTACAATAATGACTATGCAATTCAAGCGTTGATTGTGTATTTTTATGTAAGTATACAATACACCTTTCTTATGTACATTTTTAAACTTATTTAATCATGTACATACATTTGTATTTTTTGGTTGTTCTTTTTTCGATACAGGTTGTAGCGCCAACTCAGTACTGGACGAACTACTTCAACCAGCTATAATCAAGCATTTTATTCGCTAAGCAAAAGTAAGTATATGCCGAAACCACCACTTTTTTAAACCAAAATATCTTTATTTGTAGTTTGTTAGTAAATCATTTTACATATTTTTCAGATGAAATGTATCAAGTTCCACGGTGGTCCCTTTCGAGACTTTTGCTCCTCACACAACCGCGTGGACACCTCTGTTGTAATGTTAAAGAGCGATTATTCCTGGAGCTATAAATTTTATGCCGCAGAATCAAGCGCACCACATGCACATGTCGGAGATATGAACTAACTAAACACAGGTAATTTTACGAGAACACCACTATTTTTCACTTTTATTCATCGACAAAAGAGTTAATTTAACACAACAACGCGTTTTCCAACATTTATTTTTATTAATATGCCACAATTTGTTAGAAATTTCCTAAATCAATCGTCTGTGAATCAATTTTGGTTGTTTTGTTCACATCGTTTTGTTTATTTTTCCAGCGAAACAAGATGGCGTAGAACCCGCTCAAAAAATCGAGTTTTTTCACTCTCTTGTTCTTACGTGATCTTGTGTCTTTCGTTCATGCGAGGTTTCAAGGATAATCGTAACAATTGGTGTCAGAAGTGGGATTGTTAAATAAATCCCGAAGGATAAACTTTTGAGAATGGCAAAAATTCAGGACTTAAAGATTGAGGAACTCAAACAGGAGTTGGAGAAGCGAAATTTAGCAACCTCCGGAAGAAAAGTGGAGTTACTATCACGGCTGCGAGAGGCTATGGAAGCAGAAGGCATCGGCGTGGACAAATACGACTTCCAGGGTAAACTTGACGATGCATCCGCAAAGAATGAACAGAAGGATGAGGCCGCTTGTTCGTCGAAGGATATGCAGCAGACATCCGGGAAGGTTGAAGAACAGCAAAAGTCTCCAAGTTCATCAACATCTATGGACATGAACACGTTATTGGCTGCCATGTCACAGATGTCATCACAGCTGTCGTCACAGATGCAAGCACAGGATACACGCATGTCAAAGATGTCCTCACAGATTTCATCCCAGCTGCAAGTGCAGGAAACACGCATATCATCGCAGCTAGATGAAAAGATTACTCAGCTACAAGAGAATTTATTCAAAAATAACGCGGAACTGAGAGAAAGAGAGGATAAAATCGAGGAACGACAAGATAAAATTGAAGCGCTTATTAAGGAAAAACAGGAGAAAGTCGAAGCTAAGGTGGATGAGCTTGAAGATCGTCTCCGGGGTTTGCAGTTGAATCGTCCAGCTACTTCGACGAACGCTCCTAAGGTAAAAACCCCATCCTTTGACGGCGCGATTCCTTTCCAGGTCTTTAAGCTCCAGTTCGAAAAAACAGCTACAGCAAATCGTTGGAGCATGGAGGATAAATCCGCTGCTCTGTTCGTGGCATTAAAAGGACCTGCAGCGGAAATCTTGCAGACAATTCCTGACTGTGAAAGGAGCAATTACGATGCATTAATGGGTGCAGTGGAAAGACGTTATGGTAGCGAGCACAGGAGAAAGATTTACCAGATGGAGCTGGAGTATCCCTGCCAGAAATCTAACGAGACTCTACAGGAATTCGCCTCCGAGGTTGAAAGGTTGGCTCATTGGCAATTGGAGATGCATCTGGTGAGCGCCTCGAAAGAGTAAAAATCCAGAGGTTCATCAACGGAATGCGGGACGTGTATACCAAGCGCGAGACGTATGCAAATCCAAAGCCAACATTTGCTGAAACGGTCCCGTATGCTCAGACACGTCAAAGGGCGGCGCTCCTAAGTAGACCATCCTACAAAGCCCATCGAGTAGAAGTGGAGACACCTGACGTGATGAACGCGATCCTGAAAACACTCAAGTCGATGGCAGAGAAGAATACTCCTGGTGCAACTGAGAGAAAGGATGGTGCTACGAAATGCTTTAGATGCGGAAAACCAGGCCACTTCGCACGCAAATGTAAGACGGGTTCCAACAGGTCAAACAGTTCGGCAGTACGTAAACGCAGGACTGAGGATGACGAGCCCAACTCCGGCCAGTCGTTAAACTAAAACGAGCCGGCAGCAAGGGGCGCACGCTGGCTCCCGCTACCCCATAATCTCTGTCTCGCGAATTGGCAGAAAAGCGAGCAATGTTACTGTTGGTGGATATGTGGACGGACATGAGCGAGTACTAACTGTGGATACGGGCGCATCACATTCCATCATTCGATCTGATCTGGTCACTAAAGAGGTAAGGCCATTACCTGGAGCAAGGTTGAGGACAACAACTGGTGAGGACACCCAAGTTGTAGGAGAGGTAACATGCAAAGTCGCAATAGGGAATGTGACGGTGTTACACAAGTTCATAGTCGCGGCGATTATGGATAAAGTCATCATTGGATTAGACTTTTTATTTGGTCAAGGTATGAAGATCGACATGAAGAACAGGATCATGACGTACGACAACATGGAAGTGCCCCTTAGGTTTGGGTATGATGGTCCGTACAGCAGCAAGCGAGTGATCCTAGAGGAAAGCGAGCAGATTCCACCGAAGTCAGAAGCAGTTGTGTGGGCAAAGATTGATGGAGATTGTCGGACAAACAAATTGTGGGTTGTTGAAGCGACACAAAATTCTACACCGGACGTACTTATTGGTAAAACCCTGGCTAAGACGCCAAAGGATGGACGCATCCCAGTTCGAGTGCTAAATAAGTTTAAATCACCAGTCAAACTCCGAAGAGGAACTGTACTGGGGCAATGTCGAGAGGTAGAGGCAATCTTCAACTTCGAAAAATTACCTGAAAGCGATTCCATTGGCGAGAGTGACATTGCGGAAGACATTAATGCATGGACGGAAGGGTTGGAAGAAAAATACCAGCACAAGGCTAAGGAACTTCTTCGAAGATACTCCAACATATTCGACAAGGATGGTGACAAACCAGGCAGGACTAACGTCGTGAAACATCGCATTGATACTGGCGATGCAATGCCAATCCGTCAAGCTCCTCGGAGTGTTCCACTTGCCAAACGTGAAACTGTTAGCCAAATAATAAAAGAAATGAGCGAGAGTGGTGTGATTGAACCATCAGCGAGTCCATGGAGTTCGCCGGTAGTACTTGTGAAGAAGAAGGATGGTCAAATGCGGTTCTGCGTAGACTACCCGAAACTAAACGATGTGACGAAAACGGACAGCTATCCTCTTCCCAGGATCGATGACACTCTGGACTCGTTGACTGGAACAAAGTGGTTCTCAACACTCGACCTTGAGAGCGGCTATTGGCAAGTGAAGACAGCTTTCAGCGTTGGAGACGGTCTGTGGCAATTCACGGTGATGCCCTTTGGATTATTCAACGCTCCTGCCACTTTTGAACGCCTTATGGACCATGTGCTCAAAGGACTGCATTGGAAAACATGTTTGGTGTATCTAGACGACATTATCGTATTGGGTAAAAGCTTTGAGGAACACCTGAACAATTTGGAAGAAGTTTTCCAGAGGATAGCTGGCGC